AAATCCAATGTTATTGTTAAAATTAAACATTTTATTGCATGTATTTAATAATAAACATAAATACTTATTTAACATCAGAAATACTTATTTACTTACTATAGCTTCATTTATAACGGTTCTCCTGCCGCTGCTCGTGGTAATTTCATATACATATTCATAAAATAATGACAATCTGTAGGAGTACTAGTTGCAATGGAATGATGAATAACATCTATTAAATGTTCATGGTTTGATGGATCAGCCAAAATATTTATTGCGCAGTACTTTATTTTTGAAAAACGAAGGCGCGATCAAAAGTTAATACACCAGCTCACGTGACCGTGCCAACAGTTAGAGGATGAAATCTTTCTCTAATTGCAGCAATAAACATTCAGGGAATGGTGTGGCATGAAGTAATTGCACATTCTACCATTACTTCAAATACATTTTTGCGTATTCTTCAGAGATGATTGCAGAAATTTGATGAAGATAATCTGGAGGGAGGTGGTTTGTTTTGGACAATGTAAGCCTCCACAACACCCAGGAAGTACGTGATCTTGTTGGTCAAACAAGACACATTTTATTATTTCTGCCACCATACTCTCCAATGATGAACCCCAGTGAAGAAGGTTTTTCAAAAATTAAGAAAGCACGCACTGTGTAGTCACGCCTCCTGCAATTTGGTCCTTTGCAGCTGGGCCCTTTCAACACCACCCAGGCTCGCCCTAAACAGCTTCCTGCAGAAGCAGCTCCAGCCTCCTCCACTCGTCCGCCACTGGGCTCACCCACTCCCTCTTCAAGAACTGGACGTCCATGCTGCCCGAGGCTCTGGCCAGCACCAGGGCCAGGAAGCCACCGCTGGTCTTCTCCAGCTCACCCACGACCGCCATGGCCACCAGCCTGAAAGCAACAAGCACAGCTGCGTGACTGTGAGTCTCAGATTCTCTATCTTCCAATGGAGGAGTAAAGAAGAAGAGAAATTCTATAGATTTCAATAATGGTCACAATGAACGGTTAGCACATCAATAAACTATGATAGCCCATAAAAATCTAAGGAAATGGTTATGAAAACTGATTTCTGAATCAGAGGGCTACTGGACTCACTGCCTGTGACCGTCATTGAGGACTGAGGTCAGGCACTCACACACGTGGAGTCCAGCCTACACCACACCCTGAGCTCCAGACCTGTCCGTCCTGAGCTCCTCCTGTCAATGGCAACGCCGTCCATCCCCAAGTGCCCATGAGACACCTGGAACCATCGCAACAGCCTGGACCCTGACCCGTGTCACTTCACCGTCCCCTCCTCCTGAGTGGGCCCCATCTCTAATCTCACTGCCCCTCTTCCCAGGTGACAGAGACCCAACAATACATACCCCATGTCCGCAAGGCAACAGGCTGCCCCAGGCCACCCATGTCCCAGTTCCCACACCAGCACCTCTCCGGACACTATCCACCTGTCTTCCTCCCGTGGTCATCTCGCTTCAGTGCCATCAGCCCTATCACCACCTCAATCCCCCGACTACACCTAATTCTGTCAGGGGCCCCGTTCTCACACCCAGCCTTGACCTCACTGGGCCCCACACCTGCCTCCACGCACCCCTCCCTGTCTTCTCAACACTGACCGGGCCACTGGCACCTGCACCGCACAGGAGCCGGGATCTGGAGAGGTCCAGACTGCAGCAGGACAGGAGAGTCCCGGCCAGGCCTGACTGCCCGCTGGTACCCCGTAAACTTGTCCCCACAGCCCAAACACCCCCGACGGGCCCTGGCCACACCACATTTCCATGCCCGCGCTCGCTAGGCAGGGAGCTCACCGGGCCAGCATGAGGCAGTGCAGTCCAAGCCACCGAGGCCTGGCTCAGAACCACAGCACCATTCGGGGTGGGGGGCAGGGGGCGGGTGAGAGCTGTTCTCATGAGACCACAAATGACAAAATCTTAAAAAGTTACAAGTCTGGGTTTTCACCAATTGCGGACACTTTAACACTGACGTTCCACTACTAGTGACACAGTGGGAGTTCAATGGCCTCAAACTCAGAAACAGCAGTAATAGCGGCAAGACAGGAAAGGTTTTCCTGGTATGGGGACGCAAGGCGTGAGAAGAACACAGGTCATCACTAAACTGTCTCGATTTGAAAACATTAAAATAGACGTAGAAACACCAGTCGGCACGATCACGGGCCAGTTGAAAATGTGCTGGGTTTGTGCGCCAGACAGAGTCTGAGCAAAGAGAGTAGAAGAGGACACCACAGCCTGGGTTAGGGTTAGGGTTATGGTTAGGGCTCTATTAGTGTCTTCTGCTCTTCTTTACAGATAGAGAAAATCAAGTGAGCTCTCTGTGAATCCTTCTTTAACTTAAACACTGCTTTTAGCCACTGAGACAGAAGTGTCCAGGGAGAATGTTCCAGATCACTTCAGAAGCCTCTTGTCTGCTTCCTTTGCCTAAGCAGCAGCCCTGCTCTGTGGGGCTTCAGCCCAGCCACCCTCCTAAGATCCAGACACACTGACCAACCACCACCAACCAGCACAGCCAGGCCTGCTGCTCCTCCTAGCCCCAGGGCTGGTGGGCCTGCCCCTGTCCCAAAGCCCCATCTCCCCAGTCTTTGCCCAAACAGCCCCTTCTCAGCCAGGCTACCCTTCCCTGCCCGTTGAAAGTCCTGGCCCCTCCTGCTCATTTCTCCCCATCACACACTGTGGGACCGGCTTACCTTTGTTCTTTTGTTTATTATCCGAGTCGCCCCACAAGGACATGAGCCCACCGACTGGTTCACCTGGTGCCTGCAGTAATGCCTGGCACATAGTAGGTGCTCAATGAACATTTGTCTTATTAAATAACTGACAAGCCTTTTGGAATAAACTGCATGTATATTATGTGTTTATATGTGAATCAGTCTGAATTTTGATGATTTTTTTTAATAATTACAATAACGTATATACCTAGTACTTGAACTAAACATTGCAATTCCTGATTTTTTCAGGTCTTATCAGTACGTCCCTAACATTCTGCCTGTTTTCTGCTTTGGATCACCTTTACAGTCGGGCAGTCCCCCATCTTCCCCAGGTTATAAGTCTTCACAGTAGGAGAACTACTGGAATATAAAATCTCAAGAAAAAAGATAGGTGAGTAGACAAGGTGGGGTCAAGACAGAACCCTTCATAATGAAAGCTTTTATAAATACTTCAACTTCTAATTAATAAAACAAGACGAGGAATTACTGAAAGCGCATCCCACTTTCACATGAATGTGTTCCAGAGGCATCCATCCATGTGAGGCCACACGGCTGGTGTGACTGTGACACCGGTCTGGGGCACAGGAATGCCACCGCAGTGAAATGATGTGCCCTGCTGATCCCCATATAATAGCCTTCTTAGAAACCAGAAGGAGTGCTTTGCGTGTCACTCAGGTAACACTGAACATGTAAGACTAGTAAACGAACATAGCGAAGCAGCTCACCATGTCTCCTTTTAATTACAGAATGACGACAATGGACCAATAGTACAGTATGAATTTTTAATCCACAGACTATTCCGAACTAGTATGAAAGAAACACACTTTAAAGTGCTTCTTAAAATATTACTTAAACTTATCAATATAAAAATACTTAAATTTAAATATAGATAACCACATTTTAAGTGCAGCAAAGTTACGCACACATTAAGAAAGACCATCGGTGCTGCTTGTATGAGACCTGCCCATGGCGATGCCTCACTTACTTGTCTGGAGAAACGAGCTGCTTGGCTACAGGACCCAGGTCGCTTTCCAGGAGGTCCCAGATATAAACACAGGAAGTGTCATCCTGGACCAGGAACACGGCTGGTCTCGTCAGGGACCACTGCAGGCCCGTGACGGCGTGGCCGCCGGTGCTGTCGCTCCACTGCATGAGAGGGTGCTCGCACGTCAGCTGGTGGAGCCGGATGCTTCCATCCGAACAGCCAGCCTGGGGGGGAGGGGGGGGCCGCGACTGTTCATCTTGGTTCTTTTTTCTTTTTTACCCAATCTCAGCACTCAGGGAAACTTTCAGACTGTTAGCTTTCTTTAGGTTGTACAGCAAAACAAAATTGGTTTACTTTTTGTTCTCCAAACATTAAATTATAATATTAAATCTGTCCTCCCAAACTGTAAAAATGAGCACTCACCGTGGAGACTGATACACTTTGCCCCACTTCCAAAAATGGCTAGTAGTCAATGAATATGGAAATAGGTGTTTTTAACAAAGTTCAATCTTGCTGTTTAAAGCATAAGTCATTTAGATTGCCTCCATGGATATAAATAAACCACCTTTAAAAACAATCACGTATGTCTGCACCAATAATATAGTTATATAGCCCCTTGGGCTGAAGTTTCCATAAAACAAAGCTTGCTTAGTAAAAGACCAATTTTTAGCCTAGAAAGAGAAGCTTTTAATTCCGTTTTACTCAATATATTTAATCCTTCACATACTCAAAAAAAAGCAGAGGCCTGAGTCAGCAAGTAGGAAAGGCTCTGTGTACTCGCGGAGCCAAGCCCCGAATCAGAGGTGTGGGTGTGAGTGCCCTCTAGGGGCGACGCTGTGCCCCTGTGCCAGACCTTGGGTTCCAGGGGTTTTTGTATCAGGAGCCAGGGCTCTTTGGAGAAATGGCTGATTCCGGGCTTACTGCACCAAAGAGCAGGGAAGGGCTTACAGGCTGATGTCAGGACACAGAAACCAGCACCCAACCAGTTAGGGATGGAGCACCATTCCTGCAGCTTCCTCTCAGTTACAGCACGCAAGCCACGCACACAGGAGAAGGCAGGGCTGCGGGGACAAGTGTGTGCCGTGTGGGGAGCCTACACCAGTGGCAGGCAGGCACCCTCATGCTGTTCTTGCAACTATGTCAAAATAAAAAGTTTTAGGAAGATCTACTCAGCAGCCACGTGGGATGACTGGCACAGGAGGGGCCTGGAGAAAGCCGAGGAACGCCTCGTGCGAAGCCGTCCCCACGTGAGCGCATGGGCGCCAGGGCCATGAGCAACCCAAAGAATTCCAGCAGAATTCCAGAAGATCACAGCCAGCACTTTGCTGCCCAAACAGAGCTGGGGCTTTAAAAACAGACTTTCTTACCAAGAATACTGGTTCTCCAAACGGTGAGAAATCAACCACGTTCACTTTCACAGGGCGCACGTCACCCTGCCGGGGTTTGAACAGTCTGGGCGACACTTTCCAGTCCTGCCTGGTGCCGTGGCTGATCAGACCCTAGTAACCCAAGGAGAGGGCCAGGGACAAAGCGGCTCGTCTTGACACAATTTAAACAACGTTATAATAAAAGCAAACAGTAATAGTCTTTAATGAAGAGATTTCTCAAGCAGCTCTAGGAAAGAAGAATGAGTTATGGAACGAGGTTTACGTGTTACTCACCATGTCGGTGCCAACAATAAAGTGATTAGGATCGGAAGGCAGAAATTTAACATTCAGTGTTTGTGTGGACCCCCAAAGTCCGTCACCTTTATGGGAAAGGCTGGAAAAAAACAGCGAAATGAACAGACGATTGTTTCAAAACCACCAGGAAGTGACGGCACCGCGCTGACCACTCTCCCATCATCCATATGCAGCGGAGCCTCTGCTCCTTTTTTCCTGATTCTGAAAGCTGCTTCCCGCTTGTCTGCCATGGTCACCCTAAAACTCATGCCACTAAACTCCAGTCCTCTGACACACAGGAAGCCCACCTGCAAGAACTACTGGGTTTACTTGTCTGGTCCTTACAGGAGATCCAGGGGGTCTCACTATCCCAGGGGCCACCCGTTGGGTGGGTTGGGTGGCTGTTAACGTATTAGATCAGCTGTTCTCAACCTGTGGGTCGCGACCCCTTTGGGGGTCGAAAGGCCCTTTCACAGGGGTCGCCTAAGACCATCGGAAAACAAAAAGATATTTACATTACGATTCATAACAGTAGCAAAATTACATTATAGAGTAGCAACGAAAATAATTTTATGGTTGGGGGTCACCACAACATGAGGAACTGGATTAAGGGGTCGCGGCATTAGGAACGTTGAGAACCGCTGTATTAGATGATTTCTTAAACAAACTGATTCCCTGTTAATCATACTTAAATCAACAGAAGGTGGTTTACAGTCTGTACGAGCTCATGAGCACAACACACAAGGAGGAGTCAGGCTAATAATGAAACTTTTCAAGGGTAAATTGTACACTGATAGTTAGTCCCTGACTGCAGTAAGGGACAAGAAAAGATTTCTTCCAGAAATAAATTAACACGGAACACGTAAATACCACCAATGATATTGTTATGTTTAATAAGAATTTTTATGTCATATTAAGTTATATGAGTAAAAGCAGAAATCTAAACTTCTGAATTAAACTTTTATGTCAATGTTTTTCGTTCCTGAAACTTATCTAATTAGTATGTTTAACTTCAGGGCTGTATCAATAGTGGATGAAAAATAGTCAAATGGTACCAATCTTAAGACAAAAAAAATTTTAAAGAAAAAACGTTAGCTCTACATTCAGCAACCGTTATTTTTGCACTGATTCGTTAATTATAAACTAATTAGCAAGAACACAACGTGGGTTCTTCACTGCCACCCTCCCCCTGCTCCCACTTACCATGCACACAGCCACCCAAGGCCACCCCTCCTGTGGGGGACGGGCCTGTGACCCGGGGGGTCGTACCTGTCACTCAGCCGGACCACAGCGCTGTGCACCAGCTTTATCCTCCCTCCAGGCACCAGCCCTACAAGCAGAGAACTGAGTCAGTGCATCTCTTCACGTGAGTTCAGCCCAAGCCCGACTCCAGGCCTGGGGTCATCTTTCGTTGCTTCAGCGTCCGTGTTAGGAGGCAGGTTCGGAACCAGGTGGGTCCGAGCAGGCTTCGTGACGCTGGGAGGGCTCCTGAAAACGCCTTGGGGGAGTCGTGGCTCTGAGCCTTGTGGGAAAAGGGTTGGTGGAATCGAGATCCAGGAGCCCTCTCATGATTAGACGCAACAAGATAAGGGCAGCACACTAAGCGAAGAACATCCATACGTAACACACCTCGGATCCCAACAGAAGTGCATGTGGCTGTGGACGGCCCCTCCCAACCACGACCTCTGCCCTGTGCCAGCAGCTCTGGGGACTCAGCTCTACCTCGCTCCCAGTCACTCCTTCCCCCACCTCCCTGAGCGCCCATGACCACAAGTCTGACCCTTAGTCATCTGCTCCCTTTGTCCCCTCCCAGTATCATCCTGCTTTTTAGTAGTGACCGCAAAGGGGACCCTGGAAATGTATGCACACTGAAACCCAGACTCAGGGTAAGGGACTGCCTGGAAAAGGATGTGATTAAGGTTACCTTGCAGTGGCAAGGGTGACTGCAATTATACCGCATGGGGCTCCTTCTACAGTCCTGGTGCCTGTCACTTATCACTCTGATGCAACAATGTTCAATGTTGCTGCTCACAGACTGGGAAGTGCCCATCTTCCCAGCATGCTGCTCACCTGGACGGCCCAGATGTCACAGTCCCTGGGAAGTCGACGCTGACCTGGGCCCTTGGCCCTTGACAAGCACCCCTTCCAGCCTAGCAATGACATCTTTCCTGAGCCCACACTCCTGGGACAGCCCGGTCCTGCCACCCTTGCGCGCTGCCACCCAGGACAGACCCAGCTTGCTCAGAGAACACTTCAGCAGCGACTAAAGGAAAGATGGCTGGTTCGTTCCAACCATGATTTGAGTTCTGTGACCGGCCACTAATCTAACACACACAGGACAGAGCTTGGAACCACCCCGACGTCCCTAACTTACAACGTGGGGAACAGAGTGACATGCAGGCATAAGCACGATTTTTAACAATGCTGAAATGAAAACACTCAGCCAGAATGTCACTCAGTCTCTCTGAGGTGCTCGTGTGATGGTACATAAGGTTATAAATATGCAACTTTACGTTCATTTTCCAGTAGCTAACTGCTTATTTTTCAAAGCAGTCATTGGTATCTTTAACCTATTCATTTTAGCAGACACCGACTAAGATTAGGGTTTATTTAATAGTTACCTAAATCACTTATTGAACCTGCAATATCTGCCTTTGGTAATTCCACAACCACCTAAAAACAAAATGTTGAGAATTGAGTATTAATACATTGTACAATGATTAAACAGTCTAAGCAAAGCATCGTACTAATGAAGACAGAATGCTGTGTCAGGTGCAAACATATGATTGCTCCGGAAGAAAGAATGAGCATTACCTTCAGAGCGAGTATTTTCAATGTCACAAACCCCTCTCTGTGACCTCTGCCCATTTCTGTCCCCTCAGCGCAGCGTCGGCAGCGAGTCCTGACCTGGCTCACTCCCAGCCCCCCAGGGTCCTGCAGGAGGCCTCCGCCCTCACGCTCCCATCTCAGCTGGCCAGTCCCCAGGCACTGGCTCCCTGGACACGGGCAGGTCACAGGGTCGGTGCATGCAGATGGCGCGTCCCACTCACCCACACGTTGAGGACCCCGCCGTCGTCCAAGGAAGCAACGTGGAATGACAGACCTGACATTTCTAATGAGAACAGACACAGAGAGAAGAAATGGCTGGTGAACAAGGAAAGTGCATTTCCTAACTTGAACTAAGGACTGTACAGAAGAGTGAAGGATCATGTACCTTCTTGAGAAGAAAAGGGTGAAAGTGCAAAACTCTGTTTTTTGTAGACGGATGCTGAGACAGGTTCTACTGCCTGCAGAGCGCTGCGGTGGTTTACAGACGTGAGGACGCCATCTAGGGTGTAAGGCACAGCTGCGCATAAGTAGTAAGTCACAGAAACACAATCGATTATGCAGGGACAGACAGGCTGCTTCTGGGACACGTGCTCCCCAAACACCACCAGACCAATACAGATCGCTTTCAGCCTTCCCATGAAAGAGACCACAGACCCCAAAACACCTGTGACAAGGGAGACGGGCAGCCATCCCAATGAGCTTCCACGTCTGTCCTGTTTACAGGAATGGACGGCGGGAGGGAGGCTAACACCCTCCCTGGCAAGAGAGAGCTGAACCAGAGGGAGAATCCAATTCCCAAGGCAGGACCCCGGGGCCCCTCAGCAGCCCCAGGACCGAGGGGGCTGCAATGTGAATCAGGACAGAGGGGAAAACGGGGGAGGGGGCCCAGACAGCAGCGCAGGGCTGGCAGAGCAGGCAGACGCAGCAGTTCCCGCCATCCATCGGAGACCCGACACTCCACAACCCAGTGCCACAAAGCCCCTCGGACAACAGTATCCGTGAAACAAATGTCCAGGAGTAGAAACAGTAAAACAAACTCCACATGAAGCGCCTGTAAGAAGAAATCGGGAAATGCAAACCCAGGCACCTCAGCTGATGAAAATTCTTAAAAACACATAAACAGAAGACAAATTTGACACTCCAAACCATATCACCTCGAAAAGCATTCGCACGTGTAAAGCAAACAAAACACAGTGACACCTGGAGTCAGAAACCCAGAACAGAAACAGATTTGAAAAACAGACAGGAACAAAGTGAGAGTTAGTTTGATCTCAAGAAGGAACCTGAAGAAAAGACAAAAGTCTCGGAGATGAAGGCTGAGTGACGGCACCGACGTGATGAGCCTGGGCTGAGGCTGGGCACGGGGTCTGCAGACAAGCCCCCTGTCCTCGCTCCCTGGAAGCCCACCGAAACTTGGCAGGTGTAGATGGCTAAAGAAAATGCTGCAAGTGTGTTAATGGCGTTGTTTTTTCATATTTATAGTTTAAAAACGTAAGAGTTTTAGTGTTTTGAACACAGTGGCGAATTCAAAGGTTGATGAGTAACATGAGTAGCAATTAGAAAATACACATTTTTAAACCAAATCTTTTCTAACAGCATCGAACCCATGAGGTACCTGTCAACTCGACATTCTCAGTGCCATATTGCCCCCAAAGGGGAAAAATGGGTTGTTGGAGACAAATATATATATATATATATATATATATATATATATATATATATATATATACTTGCTCTTTTTATGCGCACAGCACACATAGCACATAAACAGATATGCAGTACGTGTGGCATTAAAATTTCAAGGAGGAGGGCCGGCCAAGTGGCTCAGTGGTTAAGAGCTTGCTCAAGAGTTTGAGCTCTGAGCAACAGCAGTTTGAGTCCCGGCCTGAGCTAAGCAGCCGCTGAGCTGCCAACAGGTGGCAGGATGGCTCAGCTAAAAAAAAAAAAAAAAATTTCAAGGAGGAGTGATTAGGAAAACAAGTGTAAGAGAACAGGAAGACACGCCACAGACTGGGAGAAAATGTCTGTGAAGGCTTCGATCCAGGACTGGCTTCCAGAACATACAAAAGTCTCTTAGAACCTAACAAGAGCTGCACATCCCGTGTCATCAGGAGGATGCGTGTCAGCACCACAGTGACACAGGACCACACGACTGTCAGAATGGGGACACTGCAACCTGCTGGCCGCCGGCTCCACATCACCCGGCCGGGTTTTTGTTTCTGCTTGCCAAACACCTCTTTTTAGGTCAGACCCCACCCTCTGTAGCCCAAACAATGAATGCCAAGGAATGCCAGATGCTCCTCGAACCTGTCGGGCTTGTCCAGAAGACGCCTGAGGGGCAGGGGTGTCACTGACCAGTGGAAAACGTCGCCGTCCTGAATGTCCAGCTGCAGCCACTCAGCTTCACGCGGCGATGCATCCGCGAGTCCTCTCTCAGGTCCCACACAACCACCGAGCCGTGCGCAGTTCCTGCAAACAGCAGGAAGGCCCTGACGGGGCTCAGGCAGCAGCACGTGACCTAGAGACACACAGAAAGCTCTGCTCTCCCACGCGTCCCCGTGACCCTTCTCCCAGAAGCCGTGGGATGCGGCAGGCGAACGTGTCTGAGCGACAGTGTCCTCCAGCGGAGAGCAGGGCGGTCAGCCCAACCCTGCACTGTGTGCGTGGCTATAACGGCCAAGCCACCCTCTGTCATTCCATTTACAACCTACATCGCAAAACACTGTTATTTTCAAAGCCCCAAAACTGACACCCATAAAAGTCACTATTCTCCACAGTTTTGGTAAAAATCAATAATTCTGAGGTCAAAAAGCATATGAACAGGAAAAAACAAATGTGTATTTCCCCAGCCCAAAGGGAAGCAAACATAAAGGGTCAGCGTCCCACTGGCCCACATGGTCACCAGACCACAACCCCATCAACCAGGGGCCAGGCAGGTGTGGCACTACAGACTGAAAATCTCAGGCACATTAAGAAGCCTCAAAATATTCGTGACGCAAGCAGTGCAGGCAGCAAGTAACTTTTGGGGCCACAGAGCTGTGCCCAGGGCGGCAATGTTTCCATTAAGCCCATGGCCAGGTTGACACCTAATTCCCAGTGGTCCTCAGAGGCTGCTCACACCTGCACAGGCAGAGCTGAGGGCGGCCGGGAGGACAGAGAAAGGACCTTACATGTTCCCGTCCTCCGACATCGTGCCCCGTGTCCCGTTAAGCCCACGGCACCCCACGCTGTACCTCTGATTCACAGACCAGGACCTTCTGCGGCCGCGAGGGCTGCCAGATGTCCCACAGGCACAGCACGTATCTGCTGTCCAGCAGGGAGGCCGGCGCCTCATTCGGCCGACCGTGCACCGACACCACTGCCTGTCTCTGAGCCGGAGAGGCGTGCAGGAAGGACACTTTTCGATCTAGGGGCAAAACGGAAAACACTTCTGCATTTTAGTGATCCGCCACAGCCCATGTTAAATTAACACACCTACAAACGCTCAAATTTCAGCTTAATGAAGAAACGAACACGGGCCTTCCAAAGCCACACAAGCCTGAGGTCGGGGTGTGAGAGCAGCTACGGTGGCCTCGCGGTGGGGCCGAGAAATGCCACTTCCCGCTCGGCAAGTGCAGTGCAGGGGGAGGTGCCTCCTCCCTCAGCCACCAGCTCCCCACTAAACCGGGTTGTCCGTCATGGCCCAAGCCAGGCCACCAAGGGGCCCCATGGGCGCCCTGGGGTTTCCGCATAGCGAGGCCCCCTCCACCGGGGACGGTGGCTACCTGCCATGACACTTCCTTCCCCTGCCCCACTCTATTTTTCTTCTTTGAACGTGCCCCTTCCAACAGCCTGTACATTTCACTCATTAGCCAGTCTGTAGTCTGTCTGACCCAGCAAGATGTCTGTCTGTCTGTCTGTCTACACTCGCTGGGTGGGCATTTGTCAACCACGGACGAGACGGCCAGTGCAGGCTGCGTCCCTCTGCTGGGCATGGTCAGCGGTGACGGGGCAGACAGTGCCCAAGGTGGGTGAACGGCCCACCCTGTCACGCACCTGTCACCCCAATCTTATTGCCTCCTGTCACCTCACAATTATTTCACTAAAACACAAGAGCACACAAACAAGGAAAACGTCCCCCTGTTCATGTGCGGAAGTCACTCCCCCGACACAAAGGGCCAGACCTGGAGGGACACACGTGCACCACCATCCCTCACGAGGGCTCTGGCAGTGCCTGTCACCTGTATAGGTACCTCCAGGCCTGCCAGATGCCTCCCGAAGCAGCTCCAGAAGGGGTGGCTGGTGGGCAGGTGCACGTGACGGCCACAGATACAATGAATCACTGTTTTTCTAACAAGGTAACTCTTATATTTGAAAAAAAAACACTCCCCTCAAACATGAGTTTTTAAAACTAACAATGCCGTTTTCATTACTTCCATTTATTTCATAAACACAGAGGAATGTGTACGAGTGTAAACCTCCAGACAGCAGACAGGACAGAGGAAACATCTAGAACGAGGGGCACCATGGGCCTGGGAGCAATAGGCGAAGTTGGGCACCGGTCTCACCGTATCCCCCCCCACCCCGCAGTGACCTCGCCAGCAAAGTGGTTGTCAGCTAAGAAGCTGGAACATGGCCGTGCAGGCGCAGTTTTCTTAAGCAGACCAAAATGGCTGCACGTGCCTACACGTCCCGTCCGACAACAGGGGCCCCGTGCGTTGAGCGCCTGTTCTGTGAACATGGATGAACTTAAAACCTGAGCCCGAGGACCCATGTGAGGTGCTGAGCCTGCTGCCCAGCCCCACAGCAGGCCATCGATGCGCTGTCCCTGACACCGCCGGGGGCTCCCCGTTCCTCTCCTCCAGGAAAATCCAGAGAAACTGGTAAGTGGACGGGAAAAGACATCGACTTAGGAGTAGAACAGACACGCAGCCCCTTTCACTTCAGGCCTCTCATCCGTCCCCATCCTGCAGGGCCGCCTTCGGGCTGTGGCCGAACGCTGCCAGGGACCAACGCCACACTCACAGCAGGCTGCTGGAGCTCTGCTTGCCAGCACTGAGCCCATCACATCCCCGGGATGCGAGAAACGGCAGGTTTCAACAAGGGAGGTTATTTAGCAGGAACAGTCAGGGCGGCCACTTACGCTGCAGGAACGGCAGGCGGGTGTCGAGCTGGGTGGCACTGTCGCTGAAGGGCAGGGTGCGGCCCTGTGCCCCGGGGCTGGAGCCGGGTGCCGCTGCCCCGCGATCCTCTTCCAGCAAGACCGCGACCACCTTTCAAAGACAGCAAGCAGCCGTCAGTCAACACTCAGTCAACACTTGGTGTGCTCACCTTTACGAGAAACAGACACACGTTGCTGCCCATTCACTGTATCCACGTTAAGCTGAGGGTAATTGCCTAACTCTGAGACGTCATAGAAAGTAACAGAGTGGAATGATACTGTTCAGTCTGCACGGCAGAAACCGGTAGGTGAAGCAGCATCAGCCAAGCACCTCAGGGGCCAGGAGCTGCCGGCCATGCCATTTTTCTGGTAAAGGCTGTGCTAAAATAACAGGCGAACCATGCACCTTTTCTTGACTACACAAGAGTATAAAGCGTGTCAGCCACACACCACCCCCGGGCGACGGCGAGGACCCCGGATGGGCAGCCAACCACTGCCATTGCTCTGACGGCCGTGGTCAGGCTGACGGCTAAGGGGACACACAGACTCAGGAGACACGTCCGGTGCGGCACTGATGGACAGCTGTGGAGGGTGGTGGTGGAGACGGGACAGCTGGGAGGCCAAGGCTGCCCAGTCCTCACTTCCTTCCTCCTGCAGCCACCTTCCCTGCTCGTCACCTGCACCCACCTGTCCCCTCAGGGGTCCCCAGGAGCTCACACTGAAAGAGCAGCTCATTAGTGTAAACTGCACGAGCTTGAGTGTGACAGACGTGCCGGCAGGAAGTGTCGCCCAGCCAGAGCCAACTGGCCACACGGCCGCGGTGTCACACGCAGACTGTGCTTCTGTGCAAACCCGTGAGGCTGCCAGGGGACTCAGCGCCAGCTCCAGCCTGGCTGTCAGAAATGCCGCTAACATCCATCCTTCCTCTTGAGTCGATGGGAGCATCCAGGAGGGAACGGTATGGTCACTGTCACTTGTGTCACAAGACTCGAGGGGGTGGGGGGGGGGCTCAGGTGAGACAGCTCCACCTGCTAAAGTACCTAAGGTTCTCAACACCGTGCTCCCTGTATCTCTGTGTGTATTCTGAAAATGTCCATGAGCAGTTTAAAAAATCATGAGCTTATTAGTTTCAAATGCCCTCGATGTATGCCTGCCTTGCCAGGCTAACACGTCAGTTTTCCAGTCTATGTCTCCTTCAGAGTGTAGGCACCTCATACTAAGCTGCAGAGTCCAAAGGCACAGCCGGCAGGGCTGGGCCACGGGACGGGCCTCACTGCGCACGCACCTGGCAGGCCGCCCGGAGAAAGCTGGACAGTCTGGGCGTGTCGACCTTTGGTGGCAGCATAGCATCAGGCAGGTCTCTGCTCTCGCCCCCTAAGAGAGGAGGACAGTGAGAAGCAACCAAGGCGACTCTGGCACAGTTACTCATGACACACCCTGGAACTCCGAGGCCCCACAATGAGCACCAGGAAGCCAGAAGGAAAATCGGAAATTCCACGCTTTCGTCTCTGGATCTCCTAGTGACTCTTCACAGACCACCTGACAGAAGGAGCCCGGACGGGGGTGGCGAGCACCTGACTCACAGCCTCACTGACCAGTGATACCCAACAAACCTGTTTTAAAAAACAACTGCAACCTGTTTTGTGTGACGTCTGTGCGCAGAGCCCACTTAAAGGCATTAAGGAAAATGGTTAAAGGCATCAATGGCATTATCAAGCGTCACACGTGGGTACATGGTTTTGCAGGGCGGGGCTTTCCCCAGCAGAGAGAACGCCTCAGAATGACAGGTGGGAACGTGGCACATGGCACGCAGGACCTGAGGAGAGCTCAGTGCGTGCAGGGCACCACCCTGGAACCTTCCGTCTACATCGACGCACTGTGTCTGCAGACGGTACTTAAGGCACGGCAGCCTCCATTACTGAGAACAGGCTGTCCCCCAGTTAAAAGCAGACAGTGTTCCAGAAGCCCCTTTGGAAACTGCTTGTTTGGAATGCAGACTCCTTCCTTACGTTGAGGAATAAAAGTGTGATAAACGTGGGCCGGGGCCCAGGCCTGGCATCCAGCTCGCTGCTTACGCTGCTGGTTCGCAAAGCTAGTTTGTCCCCACATAAGGAATGCTGGGTATTTCCACAGTCACGTGCTCACAAGCGCCCTCAAGAGAAAGATGTAAGTAAAAAGGACAAATGTCAGGACCACAGCAACGAAAATAATGTAAAGACAGTGAACTTTCAAAAGTCAGAAGCAAAAGGCCGTTTACCCCCAGACACAGCCGCGCCTTCCCCTGGGTGCTGGGTCCACGCCTCCCTCATCTCTATCTCCTCGGTCTGAACGTCTCTCTCGACATTATCTTCATTACACTGAATGTATGCCTTAAAAACAGAGGTAAGTGTTGGTCAGCACTGGTCTCGGCCTCACAGCAACATCTCATTACTGACAAGACAGACAAGCAAAATGTTTGAAGTTATTAATATGCAGTCTTCGTGCTTTTGTCACAATACGGGCCGTGGCATAAATAACAATCGTGCGGACTGTGTGTCTTCCACATTTGCTATACTGAGGCCCAATCTGCAAACGTGCCTTCAAAAAGTCACATCAAACAATTCGACTTTGGTTTGAAAATACTGCCACTTCACCCACCGACACCCTCTTTTTTTAGAACAGACTTTGCAAAACCAAAGGCACTTTTTTAATTTAAAAAAGGTACGTGCTTCAGTCAAGACGGTTTTGTCACTAACAGCTTAGAGATGAGGAAAATGAGCAGAGAAGTCAGATCATCTGCTCAAGGTCAGGGAGAGTCAGCCGGTCAGCTTCTTGGGCTGTCCTGTGACGTCCTTCCTACTGACGGACGTACCCACGAGCCTGTAGACTGGTGGTGCTGACGGGGACATAAGGAAAATGTGAGAGGTGATTCTCTGGCTTCAAACTTCAGGAAGTGGGACTATCACAAAATTAATGACTGGAAACACTCCGGGGAGTCCAAAATCGTGTGGGATGGGTTGTGGCAGCTTAGGCATAAGAGGGAATTCAGTGTAAGTCGTTACGGAAGGGTTCACCTCGAGGACAGGCCATGGACACTAGACACACAGCAGGTGACGGGAGGGCCTGGCCAGGTGAGGGCGTGGCCGGGCACACTGGGACCTGTGAGGCAGCAGTGGCACAATGGGACAGACACGATGGGCGCTGAAGCGAGTCAGACACGGCAGCTGGGGAAGCGCTGTGTGCACAGTCCCTGGAGACCCTCGCACTGCAGGATTTCACACAAGCAGGACGGCCCCATGCTCACCAGGAAACCTCAGCAAGGGACCCCAAGGTGACACCCTGCTCTCCGTAAAGCTGTGCTCGCAGCATGGGGACAGGCCCCATGGACGTCTGCAAACCTCCAGGGTGACGAGCACCCCGTGATGGAGGGTCCCCTCTTCCTCAAGTCCACGTCTCTAGATGCCATTCTCAAGCCCTGAGATTCCGGAACAAGTACACATGGCACAGCTTTACCCGACTGCACTGTACTTGCATGTCATCGCTGAGTTAACACCTCTGTACCAACCTGCTTGGTATTTTTTTTCCCAAAGTTTCTGATATACATGTCATATTCATTTATTGGTGGCAGATCCAAGAGCGAGAACGTGAATGAAAAATCCAAGTCGATAAGCCGAAGCAGTTTTGTGCTGCGCGTCCTTTCAAGTAAAAGGGAAACAAGACAAAAACTACATTGAATAATACGCAAGGGAAGCACAGGAGAGTGTAAGGGACCCTACGGTTCCTTCAAGTGTAGTTTCACAGATTTCATCGATTTTGGGACAACCCCAGGCAGTGTGTGTCTGGGATTTCTTGCGCCCCCTCCCTCTCTTCCCCCGGCCAGGACTTGCTCGCTCACACACGTCAGGCTCCGTTCGCCGTCTCATTCTCTCTGACAGGGTTTTCTGTCCGTCTCCACCCTCCTGTATCTCTGTGCTCTGACCTGAACGCTTCCCACTGCTCTCTCTTCTGGCTCACTAACCTGTCACCTCCAGGATTTGCTGCTAAACTCATTACCAAATTCTTCATTTTATTTTATTAAAAAAAATTTTTTTGGGGGGCTGCCTAGAATTTCCTTGATCCTCTCATAGATTTCAATGTTCTGTTAAAATTAATCATTTTTAATCTGTTGTCTTGAAAGTATTACTCACAGCTTTGTAGCATCTGTACCTAACGACTGCACTGTCAGGCTCACATATGGGTCTAGCACTACTCTTTTTTTCCTTACTTTTTGGTTATTTCGTCCTGGCTCTCGGTACGCCTAGTAATTCACTGAAAGTCAGGCATTGTACAGGAAAACTGTACAATATGTAGAAACTACATATAGACACTCTGGATATTGTCCTATTCCTCAAAAATTATGAAATTCTCTTCTAGCAGGCAGAGTGCAGGCAGGGCACGCTGATGTCAGCAGGGCTGGGTCTGTGGGCTGAGAGATCTGGTCTGCGTCTGGGAGCCCAGGCCCTCAGGGTCCCAGCTACAGCCTGAGATGCTCACGGGCTGACCGAGGGAGAGCTCTCCTTCAGGGAGGCAGCCACCACTTGGTTTAACTCCTGCCGAGAAACAGCGGCGAGTCCTTGGGTGGAGAAGGCAGCATGAGAGGTGGGGTCGCCCGGACATGTCCCGTCTCTCCGGCACCTTGGCCTTCGGGTCCTGCCATCTCGGTTGACCCCCAGTGCATTCAATCACCTGTTTCTGTTTATTATATTTTAATCCAGCTCACACGGTTGTTTCAGCAGGCGTGTTTCTCTGAAGAAGTCCCCTCGTTGCATGACATGCTTTGCTCATCACTGGAACATTTTTCACATTATATTCTCCTTAATAGTAGCTACCTTTTAGTAGGTATATTTGCTACATAATAGAAAAACGCCTCGGGAAAAGTTGAACCAATTTACTGCAAGCTTTTCTCTGCATCCCCACCAACACTTAAATTGTATCATGTCTTAAAACCTCACCTATTCGGACAGGAACACTTCTCTTGTTACTGTTTGAATACCCATTTCTCTGACTACTCAAAAGAAAGAACGATTTTCACGTCTTCACTGACAACCTAAGGTTCTCTCCTGGGTTGGTGCCCTCGCCATCCCGGGTCTGTCTGGCAGGAGCCGGGGGGAGGAGCCGAGAGAAGACGACCATGCCGTCTCCCCGTCCCTCTGGCTTCAGCGGCTGCCGAGACCTGCCCTGCCAGCCCCCTGGCCCCTGCTCAGCTGCTCGGCGTCCCGTGCGGCCACCCCGCATCACACCCTTGTTCTAATGCTCAGATGCTTTCTGGTTTCCCGTCTGGATCTCCAGGTTTACACGGCTTCTGCCCACTTTTAATGAGTGATACTTGCTTTCTTACTAAAGTATAAAAAGTTGATGTGGGCTGGCCGAGTGGCTCAGTGGGTTAAGAGCTCGCTCAAGAGTTTGAGCTCTGAGCAACAGCAGTTCGAGTCCAGCCCGAGCTGAGCAGCCGCTGAGCTGCCAACAGGTAGCAGGATGGCTCAGCTATAAAAAAAATAAAATAAAATAAAAATAAAAAAATAAAAAGTTGATGTGTTATCGTAGTAGACCTCTATCATTTTGCAAATATATTTTCCCAACTGGTCAATTACCTTTAAATTCTGTCAAATTTATGGACTAATGCACCTTATAGAAACCTACTTTTTATCTGTTTGATTCTCAGACAGTCCTTTCCTATCACTGAAATAACCACTTACGTTACCTATGCCCTTTCATTCAGTTACTTTTTACTGTTTGGAACTTGTCTTGGATACACTGTAAAGCAGGTACCTATTTCCCCCCGAATTTCTAGTTAATTTACTAAATTTATATCTAGTAGTGTATGTGCTCTACAGTTTACATTTTTCTTCTCTGTATCTTTATTTCCGTACAATACACAGAGACACTAACACCTCGAGTGGGGTCACCCCAAGGGGCGGGAGGGCCAGGCTCACACGTGACTCACGCGGGTTTCTGGCCATGGGTGGCAGTGGTGAACACATGAGTGGGGCTCTGCGTCAGCCAAACGGGGCGACACCCAGGGTAACTCGAGGACCCAACACTAGACGCTGAGCCTACACACCTACTGTCCACGTCACAGCCGGACGCAGAGAAACACAGTATACCTTACAGAAGGTTCTGAATAGTCAGCAGTGAACCAAAGTGAAAAGTGAAAAGCTCCTTCGCTTCAAGTATGCTGGAGAAAAATATAGTAAAACTCCACTGTACCTTTCGCCAATTTCCTACTACACCTACTTTTGCTTAAGGGCCTGAGTCCGACTCTTCTGACGGTGGGAGGCTGTAGCAAAATCCACAAAAAATCCACAAACAGGGGCTCTGGGAGGGGAACTGTTTGCATCTGTACCAAAAAAAAAGAGCTTTTTGTGAAACTGAAATATTTCTTTCAAGCCAAGAAAATCTAGTAAAACAATTAGAAGTGTAACAACTGTGCTCAGCAGTCTTTACATGTGTAACATGAGAACACCGGTGCACACCCACGAGCACTTAAGGGGCTTGCTTCTGCTCGTCCCGTCTAGAACTGCCACGCAACAAGGCGAAACTGGCTGTGCATGTGCCTATCACACAGTTACGAGTTTTAGAAATACAGTAATACCTTGGTTTGCGAGCCTAATTCGTTCCAGAAACAAACTACTCGTATTGCAAGACATCGCTCATTTACCACATTAAAATGTATTAGAAATGTTTACTCATCTTGAGGAGCACTCGCAAACCACGTTACTCACAATCCAAGAATCCATACAAGACGCAGTCCTACAGTCTCAGCCCACTCTGCCCACCCCTGCTGAAGTTGATACTCCAGGAGGGGAATTGGGACATGAATATACAAAACAGCAAAAAAGCAGAAACAGATCCAGTTGCTGCTGGATCATCTACTGTGTCAAAGACGGGAAGCAAAAGCATCCACAGCTGCCATGTACACAGAAGTGGTCAGACGGACAGCCGGAGGGGCGACGGCCGAAAAGGCTCCCGTGTGAAGGACAGCTGCCCGCCACCGCGCCATGGGCAGGACCGTCCGGGCTCGCCTCTGTCCTGTGAGGGCGTCTGTGGCTTCCTGCACAGTTTCCCCACACGCTTGTTTGTGTCTATTTCCCTGGTGTCCCATTCCTTCTGGGCATGTGCTTGAACTCATCCAAGAGCAGGAACAGCACCCTCGTGCACTTGGGTCAAGTTCACGAGGCCAGTGAGACAGAGGGACGCGTCGAGCCCAGGCCGGGCAAGCTGGGCTCGAGCCCCGCTCTGCCCGCCACTTGCCCTGTGACTGTCCACGCCATCGTCTGTCACAACATGTACTAAAGGACTGTCACGAGGACAACGGCAGGACGTGTCCAGAAGACTTTTGCCAGCTGTAATACACCACAGAGACAGTAAGAGATCCTATTAAATACTGTTCCAGCTTTAAACATGAGGAAGCTGGACAGTGGTTCAAGTCATAGGACTGAGCCTCAAATTACGATGCCCACGCAGCACGGCCCACAAATGCCAGGTGTCAACACTCAGGCAGTGCTCACTGGCCAAGCAAACAGTGCACCTTTTTTTGCAGGTGCATGAATGCTTTAAAATCCCACGGCGGAGTCTAGTGCGCTGGGCAAGTCACTCATCCCAGGATCCCGGTGTCCTGACCAGGACAGGTGTGCAGCTCATGAGCCAATAGGTCCTCAGCCCAGGCGGCAGGGTGTGGCCTAGGAACAACACCGTGATGGTGGGCTGGGCACTCAGGACACAGACGAGGCGTCCATCGGCCTGCAGACAGTGGCGGCTGCACAGCCCTCACACTCACTCACGCTCCCATTCACACTCCACTCTGAAGCACTTTACACGCATCAGCCTGTTTCATCCTCCTCACAACAACCCCAAAGAACGCCTTCCCTTATTTTACAGAAAGGAAACCGAGGCAGAGGGGTTCAGTCACTGCCAAGGTCACGCAGTCACTAAGGGTTCAGGCACCACCGTGCCATCTCCTGCAGTAGGGACGGTCCCTCGGGTCAGCCAGGCTGGCTCCACGTGAAGGGCAGCCTCGAGGGCAGTTCTCACTGGATGACAATACACAACACACTGAGTCATTCTTTCAAATAAAAATGTAACAAAAAATAATGCCTCAATGGGGGTTGTAAAATTCTAATCCTGTAAATCAAGCTATAAAAGGCTGGAACGCTCAGCACACTGTAGGACATGAGTAATAAGGTCACTCAGAGATCTGCGAAGGAAACCAGGATGGTAAGAACAGAACCCGCACACCTGGGGGCAGCTCCATGACGCAAAGCCCCCGAGCACTGGGGACTCCTGCTGCCACCAGGACAGCCACCCGGCTTCAAACACCCGGTTTCGCTAAAAATTTAGAGAGCTCTGCATGTCAGCTCACTTCTGCTATGTCTGCAGCTTGCACAGCACAGGGCAGTGACCGCTCTCCCTCACGTCACTTGGGCTATAACATCGTGTTAACAACCAGTCATAATTAACCCTACTCATTACTAATTACTAGATAAAGTAACATATTATCCAGTAATAATTGTAATATTCTCCTATTTGGTGTACTGTGCTATTTTTAGCACTAATTTTTTTTATCGGAATGTCATAATTTTTCCCCTTTAAGGGATTTTAAAATATTTACCCCTTCTCTTCTTATAAGTAACTTTATCATAACCAGATGCCAAGAATTTCTGACCAAAACACATTTCAAATTTCATAAAGAAAATCGCTGGACACTCAAGGCTCCCTTAGAAGCAGGCCTGGTGGGCCACGTCCCCGACCTCTGCCACCTCACAAAGGTGCTCACCTGCCCACTCCTGTGAGGAAACTCCAGGACCGCGGCGGGGTCAGAAAGACAAGAGCACCTGCTGCAGGCGGGCAGGCTGACGGGACAGGGAGGGACAGGGCTGGGGACGCCGCCTGAGGGCTTCTGGCACAGGCGCAGCCGCCGGGCCAGTCTGCAACCCCTCTATGATCACTGTCCCTCCAGAGCCTCACTCAGCAGGGAGCGCTGTGACCGTCACAGGGTTAGATGGTGGTCTCTCGCAAGCAGGGACTCTAGAGTGTTCATGTACGTACCTGGCCCTGAGTCCCGCTCAAACTCCACACGTTCTTGCTTCTGAAGCAGCTTCGAGGACAGCTCGCCAATCCTGTCATTTTCTGCATTAATGGCTTTTTGAATTTCCTGTATCTCCCTTTTTCTGGCTAGAGGAAGTTCTTCAATTTTGTCTCTAGAGTCTGGCTCGTTGGTGCTATCATCATCATCTCCATCACAAACCTCAAAGTCGTCTTCATAGTCCTGCAAATAATAACAATGCTTTTGGAACCTTTAAGACAAACTGACTTGAAAGAACACTCACACGAAATCAGAGAGACATCGGCATGGCGATGGATGGAGAAGGCCCCTTCTCTCCCCTGACATTTACAAGTTCTCACGTATCATCCAGAAAAGGTCCCTCTGCTCAAAACACAGGCGCACCTGAGAGGTCCGCGTGCCAGCACCACTGAGGGTGGGGGCTCTGGAACGCACGTGGGGGGCGGAGACCGGGGAAGGGCAAAGACAGGTCCGCAGGGACAGCGCAACAGCGCCATGGCCCCAGCTAAGAGGGCAGCAGAGGGGGAGCCAGCCGGCCGGCAGAGCAGGGTGAGTGGGGCGGGAGCAGCGTGGCCGCCAAGAACCCGGCTCCCCGCCCCGCCTTGTGGCGGAGCCGGGATCAGCAGCAACGGAGACGCGTCTAAGGCCTCCTGGCTGCAGCACAGGGGCCAGCGGCAAGAGCCGGGCTCGCGACCCCCCACCACACCCCACCACCTCCCCCCACCATGGAGGTGGTGCCCCAAAGCCGAGGCAAGCGGACTCAGTGAGGCCACCCACCGCGCTAGTCACCCAGGACCACAGGGACATCCCCCACCGACCCGGAGGGGCAAGCCCAGCAGGTAAGAGGAAACCACGCCCGCTCTCTAGCGCCATCTGCTGAAAACAAAGGCCTGCTGAGGTCAAGGTCAAACGGATGCCTAAACCAGAAAACAGCCCACACCTCCAATCCCCCGGCCTGGAACAGTCCATCACATACGGTGAGCCAAGACAGCTAGGATGATGACACGTCTACAGAAACCAAACGCAAAGCCATTGAGACTGTGACTTAAATGACACACAATCCAAGACAGCAGTCATAAGGAAAACTCAGCGAGACGCCAGAAAACTCAGGCCTTTCGGTGAGCTCAGGAGTAACACCAAGGAACAAAAGGAGTAACTTACAAAGAGACTGAAATATACTTAAGCCAAGAAAAATTTTAACCTTTATACATACTTCAAAATCAGCCGTATATTCATCAGCTCCAACGTTTTCTAAATCAGTGTCTTCCTTTTCAATTTCCTAGAAGTAAAAATCAAACATATAAAAAAATTCAATTATAAATTTGAATCTTGCAAACAGATTGGGAAAATACATGGTTTCTGAGACTGATTTGAATTTGTTAACTTAAAAGTGTAAGTATTTATAAAACTAACATAACCTAACTTCAAACTCTTTAAGAGTTTACTAATTTATACGTATGAACAAAAAGAACAGTTAAGAACATATCCTTTTTGAGAAACTTCTGTGATTCGGATGGCCAAAGGAAAAAAAAGTATTACACAAATAAATCCCAAGCTTGCGGCATCGCCCCTATTTCGTCGGCTTCCCTTGAACATACCCCCACGTGTGCACTGCCAAGGACAGACACACACGTCAGTCACGTCACAGGCTCCAATGACTGAAACACCAACGACGGGCTCTCAGGGGAGGAGGCTCAGTCAGCAAGGCCCGTCCTTGGCGTCCAGGGGAACACAGGCTGCTCAAACCCTGGCCTGCCCTCAGACTCCGAGCGTGCTTGGCCTATCACCTAACCACTCCAAGCCTGAATTTCATCACCTGCTACCTGGGGCTGAACAGCGGGGACCTGCCAAGTCCTGCAGCGGGAGGTGTGCTCAGTCGAAGGTCTGCGGAGGCCGCACAGAACACCCTAAGGCCATCTGCCAGGACAACCAAGAGGACATTCCAGGCTAAGCTTTCCAGACTAAGAGGGTGTCAGCAATGAAATCTGTGTCTAGAAAACTCATGTTTTTTCCCAAGAGCTGCTCCTCCTCTTCCCCATCGTTGCTCTCCAACGTCCTGCTCAAGGCCATCCTGCACTTCCTGTCGCACAGGCCCCACGCCCCACCGGGAGCGACTTCCGGCATCCCTCCAGGCCGCTCTCCTCCCCAGCCCAGCACCCACCATTCCTGCTGGTCCCGTCCTGTTCACAGGCAGCCTTTCAAGAAACATGACCACACCACACATGCTTTCAAAGCTCCCGGCAGCCTACAGCAGACGGCCCAATATACCACACACTGGCCCGAGGGGCTCAAGGGAGAACAGCAGCCGGTAAACAGGGCCTCTGACACCTGCAGGCAGACAGACGTGGGGCTGGTGAGCAGCTGCAAGAATCCAGGTGAGGGCCGGCTGAGTAGCTCAGTTGGTTAAGAGCTCGCTCAAGAGTTTGAGCTCTGAGCAACAGTGGTTCGAGTCAGCCCGAGCTGAGCAGCCGTGAGCTGCCAACAGGTGGCGGGATGGCTCAGCTAAAAAAAAAAAAAAAAAGAATCCAGGTGAACAAAGGGGACCTGGGCTTGCGGCAAGGAGGAAACGCTCTGGGTTTTCGGGGTAAGATCTGAGTAGATGTCAGAGCCATCGAGCAACACGGGGGCAGAGGTAGAGCGGAATAGGGGAGGGCGGGACATGGCACATCAGCAAGAGGCTGGGCGCCTCAGCCACGCCCGCCCCACTGAGTGACTGCTGAGCCTCCCCCACTGAGTGACTGCTGAGCCTAGACACTACCGGAGGACCAGGGTCAGGCCAGCGGCCAAATGCTCCTCACAGGTGCACACTCAGTGCCACGCCGAGGGCCAGGGCTGACTGGGGGCGTTACTTTGAGCAAATACTTTATAGGAAAAGCTGCCCCATGAAAAGGTCCTGTCAGCATGTGATCGTGTAAAGTCACAGGGAAGGTCACATGCATCTATCACACAGACAGTCTCATCTGCTCTCCTGTGACCCCGACTGCCACGTGCTACTTCTCGCCCTCTCAGCAAGCATGTCTGTGCCCAAAGTGCACGTTCTGCCCAGCGGGACAGGCTGGCCCCCCGCTGGGCACGGTGACAAGCCGGTGCCCTCACAAGAGCTCAGCGCCCTTTCCCCGCGGCTCCAAGCACAGCCTTGTCGGCCTCCCCGTCGGTGCACAGACTCCTCAGTGACCAGAAGCCCTCTCTTCCACAGCCACAGAACCACCGCTGTGCTCTCTGGTCGGGCACACCTTTCTAAAAGTTCTGTTACCCGGAACGTTCCTCGCCGACAGTGGCCCAACTCACGTCTTTCATGACGTCTGTATTCAAGTTCTTCGATTCTGCCCGAACTTCTCCCACTCCGATGCACAGAAGGTGAGAAGGCCAGCTGCTCCCTCAGCCTGCCCGTCCCCTGAAGCTCTGCCATGCGGAGGGGAGGAGGACCCCACGCCCAGCAAGCCAGTCACCTCCTTCCTGCCCTGTGACCCAGACTGCCTCCCACACGACGACCACCCAAGTGTGAGCACACATCACATAACACCTCTTCCAGCCCTTCATTCCAACGCCCTGCTGTCCAAAGGAGATAGTTGCCCTAATGAAATGGTTCCATGAGCGCAGGGAAACACGAGAGAAAGCGAGTGTGGGCAGCACGCACCCCCTCACCTCAGTTTCTTCACGTCCTTGCCTCTGAGTCTGCGGCCACGCTGAGGAGACCTCGTCACGGCTGTGCTGGGAGACAGAGCAGAGCAGTGTCAGCCAGCAGGGGGTCTCCAGGGCACCCACACAGCCCACCCGCTCCTCCCACAGAGGTGCTGCCCTTGGCAGTTAGGGCCCAGGTCCCGGCTCTGAGCGGTACAAACAGGGTGGCCTAGGCTCTCTGTGCCTCGGTTTTCCCATCTTAGCAATGGGTACATCGTGGTACCTACTTTCTATGCCAGTGAGAGGAGTAGATAAAATGGCCCTGCACCAGCACAGGAGGCTGACGATGATCCCTGCTGTGGCCACTGCGGGAGGAAGGCCCAGCTCTTACATGTCACTGCCCCAAACTAGTCAGTGTATAAAACTGGGGACAGCACAGGATATTATCACAAAAAAATAGTTTTCCTTGTGCCCAGAAAAGTATCCTGGGGTGCTGGAGGCTCTCCAGGCATCTACTATGGAAGAGCTAACCCAGGCAGCCCCAGATGGCACTACACAACACGAGCCCTAGGGACAGTCACCGCCAGCTGCCTGGTGTCTTCACTGTCACTCTGCTCCTTAGGGGCAAATGGACACCTATTTTGTTCCTTTGGTGAAAAAAAGAATGTAAAACGTCTCATTGGGCATTTCTTTTATTGATTACATGTTCAAAGGACAATATTTAAGAAATAATTGGATTATATAATGTTATTAAATTGATTTTGTTTCTTTTTCAGTTTTTTAATGTGACTGCTAGAAAATCTAAAATTACAAATGTGGCTCACGTTATAATTCTAGTGAACAATGCTAACTGAGAGCTTACAAAAATCTTGGATGATATAAGGAAAATGTTTAAAAAAAAACTATGTATTTTGTCCAATAACTCCACTTCAAGAAATTTATCCACAGAAAGTATGCGAAATCTGTGTCATTAGAAATAGAGGAACTCCCACAACAAGCTGGGAAACACAGTATATGTGTCAAACAGAAAAAAGGCATAGAAAAACCAAACATATTTCAATAGTGTAAGAAAATAGATTACATGGAAGGAAATGTGTGTCAGGCTAACGTTTTTCCTTCGGTGTGGCTGTGGCCAGATAATAAGTAAATGAATAAAACATGCCCACATCAAAACAACGCATGCTGTGTGACCTCATTTTATGTAAAACTATGTGTTTGTGGCTATGGGTGTAAAATAAAGAGATAAATAAAAATATGTATGGGTTTCAGATAACCATCAAAGGAGCAAAAAAAGTATTCTTTAGAAATAACAGAAGCCAAAATCTGCTGGCCACATTATCTATAGTAACAAAACAAAAGCCTAGGAGAATGGTTTGATGATAATTATCACACCACAGTATACCATTTGGTAGTTATTAAACAGTCATTATGGAAAATGGTCAGGGCTGGCAATGCTGACACACTCGCTGCAAAGAGCAACAGGCGTGGGTCTCGGTACACGCGTGCACACACACACGGAATCAGAACACGACACAATTCCGTGAGGGGCACTGTGTGTGTGTGTGAGTATGAACAAGTGTTTGGGAGCATGGCCCAGTGAGGGCGTCTGGCCTGGGCCTCTATGTGGGGAGATTTTTAATACTAACGCAGTGTCTTTACTGAGCAGAGGTCTGCTCAGACGTCCCATTTCTTCTTGAGGCCGTTTCAACAATTCATGACTTCCAGGAATTTGTCCCTTCGTCTGAGCTGTCTACTTGGTTAGCATGAAGTGCTGTGGTGCCATTAGTGAAAGGGGGTGCTCGAGTCTCCTTCACTACGGGGTTTTCTATGCTCCCTTTAATTCTGTTGGGTTCTGCTTCTCGTATTTTGGGGCTCTTTTGTTAGGGATGTATTTGTTTCTCGGTATGGCACCTTCCTGCCGAGTTCATCACTTCATCATTGCAACACATCCCTCTGCCTCTCGCTACACTTCTTGTCTCAGTCAATGACACTCTGTCAATGTCTGACACTAGGACAGCCAGTCAGGCTGTTACAGTTGCAGTTTGATGGTTTAACGGGTCCATTTATTTACTTTCCATCTGTTTGAGTCTTTTAATCTAAAGTGTGTCTCTTACATGCCTCCCGGAATCACCACTCAAATAGACCACCTGCAAACAAGGTCTGTCTCAGGCTCCGCTTTCGAGGGGAGACACACACGAGGTGACGGCGAACCGCACCGCAAAGGAAAGTCAATGTCAAGTGCCTCACCTTCCTTCTCGAGTCTTTTTCTTTCCCATTATTCCTTACTAAGCTCTCCGCATGCCTAGAAAGCAAATATGATCAAAAGCAAAATTAGTTTTCAATGAACACTGCAAAAATAAACAATACAGTAAATGATGTATAATTCGTTTTCATTTACTGGCTAGAACTAGACGCAACAAGAAAAATTCAATTTAAGGCGTTCTCTAAGAACTGCTACAGGTAACCACCAACCGAAGGACGCATATTCCTTACTGGCTGCCAGCCCCATCTGTCCTTGAGCTTCCACCTCGGTTCCGGTGTTCACCGTTCTGTCAAGCAAAAACATTCGTCGCCATTAATCAGCGCATCTAATGAAGCAACCGTAATGAGTCAACTCTCTACAACACGCGTGGACTCAAAACCTAGCAGCAGCAGCAGCAACGCTACAGGCATCTCTTAAAATAACTGCTTTTACTGTTATTTATGTTAGTTAACTAACATAAGGAAGATGAATGAAGGTATACACTAAGGGGTGATTACATATTACCTCAGAAATAAAAGAAATTCACAGTCATCAATTTCAGATTATTTTCAGATAAATATGACTAGTTCCTTAGTCTTAAAACTATAAACTTTCAAACACACAGAATGTGGCTATTTCACAGATATATGTACCTACAGAAAAAAAAATTAAACAATCTGCTGTTAATTAAGTGGGTTTTTAATAATAAAAACTCCTAAGTTGTGTAAACAGGCACGGCTGAGTGAGCGCTGGCAGGAAGTGGGCATGGGGGGGATGAGACCAGGCCCGCCCCCTCACGGGCCCTGGGAGGAGCGCCTGCCCAGCAGGAAAGGCTGCAGACCTAGGATTCACCCCGAAGCCCAGGGCAGAGGAATGCAGCTTAGCTTACCACCAGGAAAGGTCAGTCTGGAGGGTGACACACGTACCAAAAGCCCTAAAAGGAGCCCAAAATATTCACTTTCTTTGACCTACAAATCCTACTTCTAGGAAACGACTCCTTGAGAATGATCAAAGACATGTATTAAGATTTTCACTGTGTCCCTCACAAAATAACTTATAATACTGAAAACATACCAGTGACCTGAGTATTCACTATCAGGCTACTTATTAAGTAAATGAGGTTATGAGCACACGGCAGGACACCAGATGGCCATTACAATGCAATTCCCAGAATAAAAAGAAATAAATAGCTTGTTTCCAATTTTGCACTTTACGAAGTTCATTTACGGACGGCAAAAGGGACTGCAGGCACATGCACATGTGACGTGAACGGATTACCTGAGTCTGGAATCAAAAGTAATTTTTAAAATTCTTCCTGCATTTAAAAATCATTTAAAATTAATCAGAAAAAAAGTATAATTACATGTTTAACAGAAAGAATGGTCTGGCATCAGTCTATAAAACAGACTGGAGGGACGGCCGAGTGGCACATTGGTTAAGAGTTGGCTTGGAACGCCAGCTCTAAACAGCAGGGTCCCGGTTCGGATCCCACATGAGGGCCAGTGACACTGCGCCCTCTACAGCTAAGATGGTGAACAACAGCTCGACCTGGAGCTGGGCTGCCGTGAGTTACTGTGAGCAGTCAGCAGCCGGCAGCCAGCATGAGCTGCCAAGAGCCGCCGTGAGTGGCTGTCCAGTGGCTGGCGACCCATCTGCCTCACCCGGGAAGAGCGCAATGATCATACCAACATGGGCCAGTGAAGCGACGTCCTCCACAACTAGACTGAAGCACAAAAGGACAGCAACTTGTCTGTTCCCCTCCCCCCAATTCCCCAGCGCTGTTCCCATCCCCCAATTCCCCAATAAAATCTTTAAAATAAAATTTAAAAAAAAAGACTGGAATGGAAAAAGAATGAGATCTGGAGTGCTGGGTAGGAAACAGTTATGATTTAGTGGCTATCTGGATATGAAGGAGAAAAGGCATCCAAGTTAATTACGAGAATCAAACCTAAAAGGGAAAGAAACTGTACACTGGAGGGGCCTTGACCCCAGAGGTGCTGGCTGGACAGGCTGCAGGCAGCAAGGTGACTTGTCCAGCAAGGCCTGGTGATCACACAGTCCTGCCTGTCATCTCTACTCTGAGGACACTGCGGAGGCAGCGACACAGCATCTGGCAGAGCTGGAGCCTGAGCTCAGCACCTGGTTTCCCAGCCGTGTGGGAGGGTTTGGAGGGGCCTGGACTGAAAACAACATCAGGGAGATGCAACACATCGCTTCTCCGGGGTCAGGACGCACACTCAGCAGAGGCGGGGTCACCACCGGTACTTCTGACAAAGTTCTCTGGTCAGTGCCTTCAGGAGATACTGCTACTCTGTGTGCCATGCTGCGTCATCCCCTCTATCTAACCGAAAGCTGGAGGGCACATACAATGCGAGACACACACACCAAAATGACAGGGAGGCGAGCATTAACCAAGGACAGCAGCCCTGGGAGCTGTCCCGCCTGATGCTAAGTGCCCACTGACATCAATCACCACGGCCACTAAGCAGCTAGCACAGCACTGAGCTGGAACGTGTACTCTGAGGGCCTGAAAGTCAATGCAAAGGACAATGTCACTTCCATGATGCTCACTGCCCACTCCTGACACAGCACTATGGACTCATTCGTTTATTTCCTTATCCAACAAAATATATGCACCATGAAAATAGAGTCTGTCCTTCAAAGCTCTGTTCTCAGCACCTACAACAGTGGCTCATACAGTGGCACTCAGTAAATATGAAACAGCTATCTGAAAAAGGCAGCTTGTCAGCCGTCAGAAGAACCTTTCCTGGGGCAGAAGTGTGCACATGTTACTAAGGCGCGTTTGTGTGAAGGACGTGCCCCCGCGGTGGTGGACAGGCACCAGCCACAGCCCCACCCTGCAGGAGGGAGTGCCACCAAGAGGCAGGAGGACCAAGTCACAGTCACATCAGAGTCTGGAAAACCAGTACAGCAAAAAGCTACACAGGAAAAAAGGGCACTAACACGAGGGCGGGAACACCAAACAGACACAGAGACTCCAACCACGTGCTTGGGAGGAAAAGCAGACCCTTCGCAATCAGCAGACTTTTTGAGTATGTTCTGTTTTGTTTTGTTTTCAAACTTCTACCAATTCTGGTCGAAACGTTTTGCTAAATGATTCACTTTTAAAAAAAGTCAGCTTCCTCTTTAGTGTTAAATTGGAACGTTTTATGGCAGACTCCTATGTCTGTGATAAAAGCACATCCCTCTATAATCAGATTCGGCTCACCTACGCACTGATCACGTGACCAAGACCAAATCATGTTGTTTACCAAGGTGCCGACTTTCAGGCCCCAAGAGTTACCCCTCCACCACCACACTTAAGACAGACCGCCTCCAGGAGTGCGGCCCTCGGCACAGCTAACAGGCAACAAGCATCCGAAACAAAATAGTACCTTGAGCTCCCTTTTCTTATGCTCTTCTTTCGACGATCTCTCTTTCTTATCCAGGCTCCTTCGGTGCCTCTTGTCATCAAAGTGAAAGCTCTCTTTATGTCGCTTTTCTTTGTGTCTTTCTTCCCCTTCCTTGTCAGAGAACGAACTACTTTTTTCTTTTGAATAATTCTCTCTTTTTTCCCTTGTGCTGATTTTTTCTCGATGTTTCTTTTCTCGGTCTGGTTCTTTCTGCTTCCTGTGCCGCCTTTCACCTTCTTCTTTATAAAGCCAATACTTAAGAGGATTGTCTTGACTGTCACCATACTGCAACTGTGAAGCGACATTGAAAAATACGTAAGCATGTGACACACGGAATGCAGCTTTTATATGTTATGACAACAGCGAGGAGAGCTGCAAACCTTCTCCTGCCGCCCAGTCCTCTCTCCTGCTGGGGTGCCATCCTATTAATAAAAACTACTCTGATCACGTGCTTCTGGAAAGGGCACTGCTCCACCGGGAGACGCTGCTAGCCACCCAGTCCTAAGGACCACGGCAACAGTGCAGCCACTGCCCTCACCTGATTAGGACAACATCCCCATTCCTCAGCGCGGCAAACAGGGCCCCACCCAGGCCGGCCCCTCCTCTCCACTCCAGCCTCATCCTTGTCATTCTTGTCACCCTCTCCCCAACTCCTACGCATCCTGAGCTCCACCAACACGCAAGCCGCTCCTGTGACACCAGTGTGACGTCCATGGCTGGGCACCGTGTACCTCCTCCCCCTTGGCGGTTCACACGCCAGCCCTCACCCACAGGGAGAGTCTTAAATCTGGCATCATCGTTTTGTCACATCTGTACCCAAGCTGCTGTGCTCAGTAACAACAGGTGACACCGTCACAGTGACAAGATGACCTGCAGTGCAGGTGGTCAGAACAGACTCGCCACTCCAGAGTGCCATCAGCAGCCTCACAGAACCCCAAAACCATACTGTCCTCTGCTCTCGTCCGGTCGGTGACCCCTGGACGCCCCTCTACAGCACAGGGTTCGCATGTCACAGCCCCTCCCTGTCTCAGCGCCCCATGCTTTACCCCCATGCCTCCTGTGCCCTGCCCGACCCCCTACTCTGCTTATCTCCCCAAGAAAAAATACTGACAAGCCCCTGAAGCCCGTTAACAGAGTAAACTCCTGGATTAAAGATTTCAGTGTTAAGAAATTCTAAGGCCCCAGAACAAAATACAGAACATGGGCATGGAGAAGGGGCTTCTGAGCATGACATCAACAGAAAGACGGACAGACAGGACTGCTTCATAATTTGAACCTTACTTAGAACAGGGAGATTCCACAAGTAAAACTCAAACCAACCAGGAAGCAGCAACCTCAATGACTAGCAGAGCCAACCTTCAAAGTACTCTGAAGTAACTACGAGTCCCTGAGACAGGACGCAAACACACATGACCGGGACTGACGGCAGCACAGCCAATGCCCACAAAATGCTCCCAGCGCCCCTCCTTTGGAATCACGTCAGCAAAGAGCAGCAGCTGCAACGATGGCCAGGGTGCCCCCGATGACACACATAAGAACAGCTCTGTGCAGTGGCTCTGACCCAGCCAGGCCACCTCCACAGCCAGTCGTGAGGAAATAATCAGGAGTAAATGCGGCAAGTTCATCCCCCCGCAGTGGGCTTTACAATCAAAGAACTTAGGAGCAACCAAAGTGTCCAAAAAACCCATGGCATCCATGTCACTGAACGGATTGACATAACATTACAGAGAAATTAACTTGGACAAACACTCAAAATGTATTCAGCATAAATGGATTACAGAACAGGAAAATCTAACTTAAGAAAAAAAGCTTACTGTACATACACATGCACACACACACGTGCGCAAATACACAGCCGTCCCTCAGTATCTGGGGATAGTGCCAGGGCCTCCAGATACGCGAGTCCCCACACAGTGCCCTCCGGGTGACAGGTGCCCACCCATGCGATGGGAGAGCTGGGTAAACAGCTGCTGACCTGTCCCGTGTATGGTTTCTACCTAAACATTACTCTGAGTGGGGACTCATTTTTATTTTCTTCTCCTAATTTGTTTGTATTTTCTAAATTTTCAAGAATAACTGACTATTACTGTTAGAATGAGACACACTTGCCAGTGAGAGGAGGCGTTCCTGATGGCACACGGGGAACTGTCTCAGGCCTTGAATTCTATTACAACACTTTCCAGCAAGGCCCCTGCCAATAACGTGTCATCTGCTTTGCAGTATTAGGGGCCGTAGTGTGCATACCTTTCTTTCTCGGTATCTTCTTTCTCTCTCTTCATCTCCTCTTTCACAGTCTTCATCTTTCCTTTCCCTGCCTTCGGTTCTTGCTTTACTTACTACCAAAAGAAAACAAAACATAATTGTAACATTCCCAAACTTTAGCACATCAAAAGGTCTTCTACCACCTTGCTGTACTCTTTACTGTACACACTGAGTTACGAATTATACAGTAACACATATGAACACATATTCTCCAATTAGAACACGTTCTGCAATCCTAAGATTGGAAAGTTCTAAAATCTAAACCAAAACTAGAATACAGCCGATCATAACGGCATCAGTCTGAAACATGTTTCAGCAACAAAGCTCTACAAAGTTGTTGCTCCTTACAGTCACGAAATGAGTTTTAAAAATATCAAAATGAGACAACCGTGAAAAGCACACACGACAACGGGTGTGTAACCAAATGCAAAGCTAAAGCCAGCATGAAAAGCAGGAGAGAACGAGTGGGGGGCGGCCCCCTCAGCCTGGCCAGCGGCACATGGAGCCCCTGGGCGACGGCGGCGCAGACCCCGCAGGGACACGCACCTGCCCGCCTGCTGCGCCCCTGCCCCGCCCCGCCCAGCAGGTCGCGGTGTGCGCCTGCCCGGGGCTGCTCCTTGCATGCTCGGCGGTCTCCGTCCTTCTCTCTGTCTTTGCCTCGAATATGAAGCTTGTCTGCATCCTGTTCTCGGGACTTGTCACGAAGCCTCTCTCTGTCCCGATCCCTGGCGTCCCGCCTCCTCTCCCGTAGCTTTTCGCGGTCTCTCTCCCCGCGAGCACTCTCCCTGCTGGGGTGGCCGTCCCTCTCAGCCACCCTCTCTCTGCACTTGGGGTCCAGGTCGGGGTCCCTGTGCTTCTGCGCTGGGGGCTCAGGAAGGACCATTTCGGGCTCCTTATGCAGCTTCTTTCCTCTGGGCTTCTTTTCTTCCTTGGGACTTCCTGACTGTGCAGCCTGCAAGAGAAAGAAATGGGTTTCTAGACCTGACAGTCACCCTCACTGAGGGACCTTAAAACACTGGCTCCCACCCCAGCAAGGAGGGCCCGGACCATGTCTCTAAAGCGACAGCAGGTGGGGCCACACTTAGCATTCCTACTACTGGCGACGGGCACCCGCTTACAAGACATTCACGTTCGCTGTCAGGTCAAATCCAAAATACCACATGGATTAGAAAGGGAAAGAAAGGAGGTCTGAAGCTGTGTCACAAAGTCCCAGAAACACTAACCACCAGGTCCCCTCAAAGAACAAGGACCTTCATTAGAAAGCTTTCAGTTCTCCATCTCAACCCCCAAACTTCCCTCCGAACCCACACACAAACCACATAAACATGCATGAACACACACAGAGACGCACATGCAAAAAACATGGCAAAGACCAGACATATGCACATATAAACACACACACGAGCGCCATGCCAAGACGGTACTAGGCCAAGCCCTGAACCACAGCAGGAATCCGACTGAGCTGGTGACATGCTGGCTGGGCCAGGAAATCCTATCCCAGGACAGCCCCAGAGCTACTGACCACATGGGTTTACCTCTGAGTCAAAAACGCCTCTGAAATGAGCTGCGTGGAAGCGAAACTGGGCAATGCTGAGAACCAGGTAAAACTGTCCAAGAAAACCACCCAGGGTCCAACTGGAGCCCAGCTCACTCCTTTAAAATACATTACCCAAAGGTGTCTTCTGAGGTCATCTGCTTTCCAAGTGTCATCTTTGGTTCTTCTCTGAAAAGAAAAGTATATAGTTAGAATTTTCAAAGTTTAAAATACCAATTTTGTAAGCTCTAATAGGCTGCTTTTTCGTTAGGCCATTTTTGCCAATGGCAATAGGCCGTGATATGCAAGAAATTACTGTCTATCTACCGGAATAAAAGGTAATAAGAATGCAGACTTTAAAAGATTACTCACTATTCTAAAATTACCTATAAATGATTATAGAATGTGTTCCTTTGGCTAGTTCATAACGTAAACGGACATGTTGCTTCAAGGCTCAGGCTAAGCGTAGGTCACACACACTCCTCACCTCTCCAATGTCTACCTGTGGCCTGTCAGCGCCCAGTCCTTTGCTCCTCAGGAAACTTAACTTTAATTAACTAACGGGACTAACGGAACCCCTGACCTCCGACCTCTGACCTTGGCGCGTCACGGATGGGAGTCCGGCCCGGACCCGGGGCCACTCTGCGACCAGACACTGGTGGAACTGGACCACTTAACCAAGTTCCGAAAACTTCCCGCTGAGTCCGCCCCGCACCCGGAACGACGCGCAAGCCGTGTGCACCCACCTTTCCGGGCTCCATCGCTACTCGGAGGCCCGGGAGGCGGCGCTGCGCTCCGCGCACCAAGCCCGACCCGGGGAGACACCCCGCGACCGTGCAGCTTTGGCCGGGCCGGCGTCGCCGACTCCTAGCAACAGGCAGGCGAGAGCAGCGGAGGACCGAAAGACTGTAGTCCCGACATGCCCCGCGGCAGCCGCCAGCGCGCCTGCGCGTTCCCGACTCCTAGCAACCCACAGGCATGAGCAGCCGAGGGCCGAGCGATCGTTGGACCGGCATGCCCCGCGGCTGGCCCAGCGCGCCTGCGCGTTCCCGAGTCCTAGCAACCGACAGGCTCGAGCGGTGGAGGGCCGAGCGATCGCTAGTCCAGCATGTTCCATGGCCGCCCCCAGGGCGCCTGCGTGTCTGACTCCTAGCAACTGACAGCCACGAGCCGCAGAGGGCGGAGCGATCGTTGGTCTGGCATGCCCCACGGCAGTCCCCACCGCGCCTGCGTTTCTCTCCTAGCAACCGGCAGATGTGAACAGCGGAGAGCCGAGCGATCGCTGGCCCAGCAACTCCCCCGGCCCTACCCAGAGAGCTCGGGCGTTCTCGATCCTAGCAACCGTCAGGAGCGAGCAGCGGAGGACCGAGCGATCGCTGGCCCGGCGTGTCCCGCGGTCGCCCCCAAAGCGCCTGCGTGTCTGACTCCTAGCAACAGGCAGGCGCGAGCAGTAGGGGCGGGGCCTGCGGGCGCAGCCTGGCCGCTTCGCCGCCTCACCCCTGTCGTCCCCACAGCGCCTGCTTGGCCCCTGCAGGAGGAGCAGGACCTGCGGTGGTGACACAGCCGCCGCCGAGCCTCGTTTGTCTTGAAGGTTCAGACAGATCACTAACGAACACGGGTCTTCCCTCTAAGCACCCCGAAAGCGCGCCCAGGCCACGCGACTGGCCCACACTCTTCGGGGCGCGCGGGGCCCCGTCGCCGCAGGGCTCAGATCGCAGGTCTTACCGGGAGCCGGGCGCCGACACGCGCCGTGACGTCACGTCTGCCCCCCCCCCGGAGGACGCGTGCACCTCCCCGTCACGCCCAATTTAATATACGTGCATCCGTGCTTCCTTAGTTAATAGAAGCTTTCCTCTGTATTTAAAGACGTGTATAAACTATGACATGAAATTTAAATAAAGACCCAAAACAGTGCTTTACTACTAAGTAAACCAACAGCTTGCCCATCGGCCTTGGCTGCGTGTGGGTCCCTCGTGGAAAGACGAGCCTCACGCCCCAGGACCGGCGGAGAGGAGCCTGACCCTGCCTGTCCCCGGGAGCGTGGCGGCCGCAGCCGTGTGACTCAGGCCCGCGCCTGGAATGAAGCGCCCGGTTGGGAGTAACTTCGAGAAACAGATTAAGTGGATGAAAATGGCCGGACACCTTTTCCACTTAGAGGCGTGATGACGGCCACAACTTAGAAAGCGCACATTTTCATTAAGAGGGTCCTAGATGTCTTGTATTCATTGTCTTGAATGGTCAAAGCCACACCTCAGGGCAGGTGATGCGTTGGAGTGAGGGACATGTGTGACAGTGACTCCTTTTTTAAGTGGGTCACTTTAGCCTCTAGCTTCTGCAACGAGCACACAAATACGTGTTTTTTCACTGTGTGGTGACAGACTTGGGAGAACAGACTCTACCCATACAATGTAAAAATCTTCAGAATTACGAGTCACTGTATAATGCATAATGGGGACTTAAGTGTATCGTCTGACATGACATCTCAAAGAATTGTAATTATTTACATTACTTGAAAAGCACAACTGTTGCATATGCTCGACTCATAACTAATTATTTAAGCCGCGGGAGTGTGTGTTTTTAAGGAGTATTGAGTTTACGTGCTACTTTCTTCCAGTTAATCACCCACAACCTTCCACAGAGGAGGATGTAAGATCCTAAACCTCAGAGAGGTGGTCCGACTTGCTCTCATTGTTTTCAAACTACATTGTAATCGTCTGTTTTCCTGCTGCTGCTTCAGTCTCAGGAGTTGAATACAAGTCGTTCAAAACAAATCCCAGTAATTGCTGGGGGCTGGCCAGTGTTGGCCCTGAGGCTGGACCCCTGGGCGGGCGGCTCTGGGCTGTTTTCATGGACGAGGAGACCACCTGCCGACCAGCTGTATCCGCCCCACTTTCCTTACTAAACCTTTAGAAAATCATTTTCTTTTCATCTTCCAAAGAACACTTTTCTGTATAAAAGATGCCCCAGATGCTTTGTAACGTCTACGTGCGAGAAGTGCCTCTCTAAGTGCCACGTGGTCGTCACCGTGGTCTCCGCTGAGTTGTGTCCCAGTTTCCCAAGAATAAAGAAGGTAATTTGTAAAATTGCAGTAGGTCCTGCATTCGTGTGGGGCTCAGCTGTAAAGTAGGACTGAAAAAAATGCTTCTGTGAGGAAGAGTGGCCGCTGCCCCTCAGGATTGTGGGTGAGGGGCCACCCAGCCTTGGCGAGCAGGGCACCTGCCCAGCATACCTCATGAATGCCCAGAGCCACATGTCCACTTCTGGGGATTTATCCTGTGGGGACACCTGGGCCACCGCAAAGCACTCGTGAAACAACTCGAACATTCATCCCCCGGGGACGGATGCGGCATCACGCAGCCGTCACAAGGAAGGCACATCTGTGCACAGGCAAGACACACACACTGTGTCTTAACTAAGAAAGCACGTTGCAGAACCTCCCTACAACGCCACCTAATTTCCATGGAGGAGAAGGAGGGAGGGAGAGGTTTGCACGGACAGGAAAACAGGGACACAGTCAGTCACTCATATTTACCCCCAGAGGGGACGGGCCAGACGGAAGGTGGCGCTCAGAGCCTTTCCACTGTCTAGGCTCCGTTTGCCTGTCATAGTGGAGTTTTAGAGCTCCTCTGTGTCATCTCTGTAGCCTGAAAAACGCCCTTTACAAACCTGCCATCCTGGGTGAGAAAGGAACGTGCACGCTACGCGCGTGAACTGCAGGGGGCGCTCACCCACCGCGTCCCACCAAGGTCTGTGTCCCGCCCCGGTGTCTGCAATGTTTCCTGCTCCAGCGCGGCTGACACAGTGCTGCTCCCGGGTGGCGGCTGTGTGCCAGCCTTCCCTCCTTTCTTCCCTCGGGCTTCGGTCAGGAGAATCGACAGAGGCTGGTCCACCGCTCACCTCTAAGTTTGTCCTCCTGACGATCTGATTTTCCGCAGGGCGCTGTATTCCTCTGGAAACAAAGCACTCTGTAGAGCATGGAGTTTACTAGAAATAGATTTTATCTGCCGGTGGGATAAATGGGGCTAAGGGTTAGCTGCAAGACACACACACACACACACAGGCGTGCACACATGACCACACATGCACACGTACACATACAGATGTGCGTGCACAATATACAGATGTGCACACACGACTGCTCAGCCTGCCCCCTTAGCAGGTTCTCAGGTTCTGTGGAGCTGGGGTGGCCGTGTGCAGGGCCCCCACCCCAGAGCTGCTGGGAGAGCTGGGGCCACCCCTGACCTGCTGCTCCAATAAGGATGTCCTGTGGGGACATAGGTGACTTTGGGGCGGGGTGGCTGTTTCACACAGTCAAGGAGGCGCGGGGTGCCACCCTCCCCTCTCCTGCCCCCATGCCAGTGCTGCTTCAGCTGTGGGGAGAGTCCCCAGGATGTGGCAGTGCTCGTTACAAAGTGTGAGTCTGTTCCATTTGAGATCCTCAGGCCTCAGGATTGGCTGCTCAGTGATTGGCTGCGCAGCTTGCAGGTGTGAAATCAGACTTTATTGGTATTTACACATTTATGATGATGTCTTACAGCAACCCGAGGACTCTCATCACCCGCTTGTGCTCACTGTCCAAACACCGATTTCCTAGCACTCCCTTCCCTTCCTGGGTAACGTGGCCCGTTCCTGGTGCTTTGGGCCTCCGTGGATGCCAGCTGAGGGAAGCCTCAGTGACCCCACTCGCATCCCATGCACATCTAACGCCCAAGCACAACCAATGGCCCCAGAGAGACGTGGTCTGGCTGTCCAGCTGGCCACATGGATCAGTTACAGCAGGACTTCTCAGTGGGGACCCCAGTTCCATGTTCTGGACACAGTCACTGTGCAACCCCACACCATCCCAGTCATTGTCACTGTGCCCAGGGAGAACCAGCACTGGACCCAGACATAGGCAGAGCGCCTGTCGGTGCTGCGGGCCCTGCACACGGAAGGGGCTTACTGTCCTTGCCCCTCAGCTGTCCCAGACCCACCTCCCAAGTCTGCAAACATCACGGCACCAGAAGCCAGGGCTGCGGTTTGCCAATATTGGACAGATGCGCTCAGTACAATTTATACTTTGTTAAAATAATTCTACATTTAAACAGAAATAACGTTAAGACTATTTTCTTTCAAAAGAGAATAGGTTTCTGTTCCCACCAGATAAAATGCCTTCGTGTTGCCCTGGTGACGGGGCGCCTGCAAACCTAAACACAACACACCTGCTGGGCCCTGTCCAGCCACCCGCTGAGTGACAGATGTGAGGGGAGACACACTGCTCCCTGCTGCTGTCACCTGATGCTCTTCTGGGCACTTTTTCTTGGGCCAGGCCAGCTATTGTGGTGGGGAAACAGGGAGGGGGAGCCCGGAGAGAGGCAGCGGTGTGAGGGCGGCCAGGAGGGGAGGGTCCGCTGGGGTTTGCAGGAGCCATTTCGGGTTAGTCTTAAGTGGGCTTCTAGGCACATGTCCTTCAGACCGGGGGGGGGGCTGTCCCTCGAGGAGCCAGGTGGGGGCAGTGACGTGGGTCACTTAGAGGACAAGCAGCTTCTCCTGTCAGGAGGGGCCCAGCTCCCCCCCAGAACAGGCATCAGACTTAGAATCCCCTCGGAGGCTGGACCCGCGTCTGGGCCACTCATGTAGGTGTCTCCTATTCTCCTGGAAAACGGGTCCGTCTACACAGCCAAACGTTATGAACAAAATTACCTAAATGCCAGAGGTTAACAATGATTACACTGAAGTCGGTCAGTTACAAGGGAACCCCGGTTCCACAGATAGGAGAAGCAAAGTCCCGCTGTCCTGAGTTGCCCAGATTTACCCCAGGGCACTCCTGAGTGGTGCCCCTCGGTTGGCTCCCGATGTCCAGTGGGCTCCTGGGGTCAGGATATGGTGAGGGCGGGGGTGGGGGGCACCCTAGATGACCGAGGTCTCCGTCTGCAGGAAGGACAGGGTGCGGGAGCCGCGGTGAGAGTGCAGGGCGCTCTCCGAGCCGTTCCTGGAGATGGACAGGCTGTGGCCGGAGGGCTGACTCGGGCACCGGCTTTGCCACTTCCGTCTGAGCTCAGTCTGCACCTGGGGGCGAGGGCAGTGGGGTCAGGAGGCTGATGGGGCCTGGAGAAGATGCCCGAGTGAGCTGTTTCCTCCTCCTGTCCTTTGTGGGTGTTGGGGTGGGGACATCCCTCCACGTCCCATCGGATAGACAGGAGTGGGCTTGGGCAGGGGAAGAGGAAAGGAGGCTCGGACAAGGGGCCAAGGACAGTGTTCCGACCATGGGGACCTATGGCTGTGAGCTGCTTGTTTCAAGAGCTTCAGTCCAAGGACAGTGGCTGACACACCCAGAGCCCAAGACAGGTGAGATTTTCAGAGGAGGTCTCCCGTGGACACAAGGGAGCCTGGCATGGACAGTCGGCTCCCTCTCTCCCATCCATCCCACCCAAGTACTGAGTCCCCACCTAACACCAGCAGTAAGTGACAGGGTCTCACCCAGGAAGTCACCAGGAATGTCACTGTCCAGTCTCCTACTCTCTAAGCTGCACTGGGGCACCTGGTAGCTGTAGGTGGGCCTGGGTGTGCGTCCCCCCATGGCCACCACCCTCTGCTCTGCTAGCTGAGGGACGTGTGAGTACAGAAGGGGCCACAGCAGCAGCAAGCCGGGGCCAGGCGGGTTAAAGAGCAGGAGCCTGTGACATTCCTGGTGACTTCCTGGGCGAGTCCCTGTCACTCCTGCTGGTGTTGGGTGGGGCTGACGGGAGGGAGGGAACCTGAGCAGCATGTGTGAGAGCCGGGCTCAGCGAGGCGTGGGCCATGCAGACTTGGAAAGGCCACCGCAGCTCCGATGAGACGATGGCACATGGGAGACGGGTGACATTCAGAGGGCAGGCCACAGAGGGCCACACTCAAGGGTCCTGACACACCAGTGACAGCAGCTTAAGGAGAGGGTTCCGTTGGTGCAACGGCCCCTCCCACTCTGGGACTCACGTCATGGGTCAGGGAGTAAGAGGGTGACAGATCCAGAAGCAGGGTCCCTGCGGACCACCCTGGGGAGCCTCCTTGAGTGGGACATAGCTGGGAGGGTAGCAGGAGGGCCCCAGAGGTGCCAGAAGACTGAGTGTGGCTGTTGGGCGAACACCTGCTGGGGGTGGGTCTGACCCCACAGAATACGGGGCTCTCGGTCCCCATTGGGGGGCATTCCAGGGAATCCCCCACAAACCGCACATCTGTGCTTGGTTCCCGAGGCGCGACAAGGACTTACTTCACTGTTCAGAAAGCAGTAGAAAACGGCCACCACCAGGCCCTGCAGGCGAGAAAGGGTCGTCAGAGGCCGTCAGAGGCCACTCACCCCGTGGAGGACAGCCATCCCCTCCCACACATACCTGGAAGGATCCGCCACACAGCTCAAACAGGATCCGGTACTTGGAGGAGACGCCGATGGGAAGCACGGCAAACACCATGTAGTGGACGCCGAACAGCGGGATGAGCAGCAGGGTGGACTTGGTCAGCCTCCTGCCCCGGGGAGGACACTGAGTGACCGCAGTGTCACACACGAGCTACTGACCGCAGGAGTGCCGCTGGCTCCTGGGTCTCTGATCTCCACCCTTGCTTCCTCCCTGCTCTGGGTTTCCAGGCCATGTGACGGCAGCGGGGACGGCTCAGGGCCTGATCGAAACACATACTCACTTATACTGTGACTGGTCATTGCCTCCGACTTCTGGGGACGTCAGCTTCTGCAGTAAAATTCGTATAATACTAATGAAAAGGACAAAGTTGACCTGCACAAAGAGAGACAAAACATTTGTTTGTGATCCCCTGCAAGGGAGCAGGGGGTGGCGGCTGGGCCGGCTCCTCCTCCCAGGGACGGGGCTCTGGCACCACAGTTACAGGAGGCCAGGACCTGCCAGCCTGGCTCTGCCCCAGGTCAGAGCCGGACATTGTGTGCCAGCTGCATCACGTATCTTAGGGCCCTGGGCTGTGGCAGTGAGTCAATTAACTTTGAGGCAGGAAATGGACAAATGGAAATCCACCTCAGCCCTAACATGGTCTACTTGGTCAGCCTGACTGTGACATCCCC